TCGTCTCCTCATCTCTCTCTTATCATCCTCTCTCACCATCATCTCTCTCATCTCACCTTCAATAAATCTCCTTCACAGTTGCTACGAGTCCAAGACTAAGTTCAAGTCCGCTTGCGCTCAGATGTTGAAGGACATCCGTGACGCTGTCCCCGGCAACCCAGGCAACTCTGGTGCCTATGAGGACTACAAGGATTCTGTTGTGATGGACCCTTGGAGCGGTGAGGGTATGTGGCGCAACCCGGGTTACGAGCTGACTCACATGGCTGAGCAGTTGGCCTACGAGATCGACATGCACTTGGTCGACCCATACTATTAAGGCTTGATACACGAGTATAACTAATCCATGTCTATCTCCTGCCTGTCTCATACTTCTAAAGCATCTTGGACTTGTCCCATACCTACTACGAGGAAAACTACAGGCCCAATACATGTGTATCATGTGTCTCCTCGTCAAGATCATGGATTTGATGGATTATTAGCCCCCTCAGGAGGAGCCAAATCCCTTTTTCTAATGTTTTTTCTACCAATCCGACAAGTGGTCTGCGTTTGAGAAGCCGATCTCGTCCAAGTTGGCTCGCTGCACCATGCGCGCCATCCGTGAAAATCTCCCTGAGCGCAAGGTGATGGAGATCGTGGGTCGCATGAAGCGTGGGGAAATCGATGCTGCCAAGGTGGCCGACCGCATGCTCAAGCCGGTGTTGGAAAAGCATCCGAACTGCACCAGCAACGTCGCAGAGGCCAAGGCCTTCCTGCACAACAACGTCACGGACCTGTGCGCCCGCTTCTGCTCCGATCACAAGTACTGGGAGGAGGTGTCTCTGCCTTTGCAGACCGGTGCCGCTGGCAAGTTCAACGAACCGGTGTGGTCCGAGGCTGAGTATCCTGGTGCCATGATGGAAGACTCCTGCAAGGTACTGCTATTTAGTACTGTGACATTTTTTGGAGTTCTCTGTTTGTTGGAAGATGTTTTTAGATTCAAGTACTGTGACATTTCTTGGAGTTCTCTGTTTGCTGGAAGATGTTTTTAGATTCAAATCACGTGTAAAAAGTAAGAGTTGGTTCTACGTATATTAATTCCATTCTGGTTCTAATTGAAACTCCCACACAGGTCGACAACCACTGCATCATCTACAACAACTTGGGTGGCGTCGCTGGCAAGAAGGAGACCGCCGACATGTATGCCAACCACTATCGCCTCCGCGAGCGTCGTCAGCGACGTCTCAAGATCGAGGAGCGCCGCCGGCGTCGTGCCCTCCAGGAGAAGGAGGGCTCTGTTGCTGCTGAGACTGGTGAAGAGACCAAGCAGCGTGAATTGGCGGAGTACTGGGAAGAGCGTGGCATCGACTACATCTTTCCGGCTCGTGATCCGCTCCACCGCGGCTCCCTGCGCGCGCGCGCGATGACCCGCAAGTCTAGCACCCACAAGCGCCGCATCAACCGCCGCCGCAAGCTGCTGGCCAGACGCTAATTGGTTTAGTTTGTCGTGGAGAATATAACTGGATGTTGAAATAGAAGTTTTATAAATATTAGACTATCATCATAATCATGGGCGGGAAGGGAGTGATAGTTTATAGACTATGATACGGGGTGGAGTAGAATGCAATATACAATACTACAGGGAGGTAGATGAAAAGGAAAACTACAATTGTTCTTGGGTAGGAAGATGTTGTAGCTATAAAAGAGGAGGGACGAGGAGTATAAAACAATAGCTGTTTACAGGAGATTTTAGATGTTGTAATGTTGTACTAGATCATATCTTCGTGCATTTTTTCGTGCATTTTCATGGAGGCTATCTAACAGCAGCAATATCAATGTCTACTATCTAGAGTAGAGGTGAAAAATTTTCCCGGAGTTTTCGTTGTCCGTTTTGTGGTTGGTGATTGGTTCCAGGCTGCGCAGTGCGATTTGAGGACCAGGCCATCCACGTGATGCGACGACTACTAAAATTCTTTTGTTTCAACACAAATACAAAAATACTATTAGGCTAAGGTGGGACTTCTTTATTTTCATACTTTTATGAATGGTCAACGTCAGAATCACTAAAAATCATCACGAAACTACTTAAATCATAGTTCTTATGGGGAACAAGTCGCAGTTCAGTAAGGAAAAAGTAAGCATTAATATCTTGACAGCGTCATCGCGGAGATGAGAAATTCGAAGTTCTTGGGTCATTGGCACGCTTGTTGTGTCTTGTTAATAGTCTATAATTGGAATTGGATACGTCATAAAACCGTGCCTGTTCGTGGTGAGTCGGATGAGTGTTTAATGACGATTAAGGATCCGATTGCTTTTTATGGGGTTGATTGGAATAAAACAAGGATTATCTTCTGATTGTTTTTTATGGGGTTGAGGCCCTCTGAGTGAGTTTTTTGTGTTGTTTTTTTTAATATAATTATGTTGTTTGTTGTTGTATTATTAAAAGTATTTCGCAGGATTATCTTTTGGGGGGTCTATCTTTCTCGGCTGCGGTATAATTCTTTCGCGAAGTAAAGGGGACATAAGGGAGAGACAATGCTGCTGATTGTTTGATTCTTCTCAATCCTCTTCAAGCATACACAAGAGCACTTTCTTTAGATAGTGGAACAACAACTGCGAAGCTATACCCGTCGCCGATGAGAGAAGACTTCTCGTGGACCTGTCGCGCATGCCAGTGACTTCTTATGATGTCAATTATAGGTGAAATGAGACCTGGTTTATTGAACTTTGTAGGATTCTTGTTGAAAATGAGGCACGCCGTTCCCACGTATCGTCTCAGGACGTGGCGACGCAGTCACGTCAGCCGCGAGCCCGGTCTCCGTTCCATTCTTGTGCTGAATCGTTTGCTTCGTTTTAGGTGCCTGGCCGTCGTGCTTGAGGCGTCTCGCTGGGTAATTAACGTAATTAACTGTTCTTATCGCGAGAAACGTAGACCCAGGCACCAAAAGAAAAGATTCTCGCGGAGGCCTTGTCCTGAGTGAATGAATGAACGAAAATAGACTAAAACGGCAGGTGGATTGCAACAAACATACGCAGGATCATCAGGGCATGTTGATCTTCATACTTTTACTTACTAGTAGAAGTTACCGACTTTTTTAGTTCTTATCGCGTGCATCAGTGTCAGACAAAAGTTTTGTCTTATAGTCGTGAAAATGGTAAGACATGAAACACAGATTCCCGCTGGTAGTAGTTGTAAACACATTTTAGAATTTTGAGTTTGGATTTGAAATCAGTGAAGGGAATAGTGGATGGAAATGATGGTTAAGATAAAATCATGAATGAAGTTGATTAATCTGAAATACTACACCAGGTGGCCTAACAGTAAAATGAAACAAGCGTTGAGGAGTCAAAAGCGAAAGTACAACCATCAACGTCATGAAGCAGAGGTCCCATGTGGACTAGGTACAATCATGATTAATAGCGTGTTTTAAGGGATATCCTTCATTTCTTCAAGCAGTTACTCACATGGCTCATTTCATATCATGACTATTATCTTAAAGCGAGGAAGTATGTGCATGTTCTTGATTGAGCTCTATGGTGCTCTATGCTGAGGAGCAGGAGGACTGTATGATAACTGAACAGACCAACGCCTAAACCTTATCACTGTACTAGAAGAGTCAGTTCTTGTCCTCTTTGCGAATCAGTGGGTTGGAGATGAGGGTAAACGCTTTTCTTCATGATGCGTCCTTATTTCATGATGGTAGGACAAGATGCTGGGAAATTTAAGAAAGAAACTCTTTTTGGTGGTCAAACAATTCGCGCCATAGGATGAAGCACTTGTCTTATTGAGATTGAACGTCATATGGGACGATGGGCGCTCTGGGAAGAGGACATGGAGCGGCTCCCACAGTGACAGGCGTTCTTGATTGACAAGTGCTAGTGCCGTGTTCTTGAGTGAGGGACTGGGACTGCGGGTAAAAATAGCCGAGGCTCATCATCTGTTGCCGCTCTAGTAGAATTTAATATGACTATGACTCTGGGTCTGGGCGATTCCGCGAGAGTTAAGCGAGGTTCTGTCTTATCTGTACCTTGATGAAGAAATCGAATGCTCAGAAAGTGACCTCTTGCCAGGCACATTAATCAATCAGTTAATGAGAAGCTGTTCTCTGTACCTCAGTGCCTGGAGAGTGATTCTGTGTGTGAAAGCATGGAGAGCGGTGGTGTGAATTCAGGATCTGCATTTGATAGTAAGGCTCTGTTTGAGTAGAAGGCGTTCTGTCAATTCAGGATCTGCATTTGATAGTAAGGCTCTGTTTCAGTAGAAGGTGAATCAGTATCAATCTGTTTCGAGCACAGGCACGCACGGCTAACAATGCTAAGAGGCAAAGAAAGTATATGTGAAGATCTACGCGAAGTTGTGAATAAAATTTTGTCGAGACATAAAAAGTCTGTGCTCTTGTGAGTGGATTGCAGTTCTGTTGAGAGCAGGTCGATACGCAAAGGTCTGTCTGTTGAGTGGAGCAGAGTGTAAGGGGAATGTAAGAAGTGCTCGAACTGTGAAGATCCTAAACCCTAAATCCTCTCTTTCCAACCCGCCTTCTCAACCCGCCTTCTTATCCCATTTTATCTCCCCTTTCTCACTCTTACTCGTCTTTCGTTAATATCATTTTCTACTTGACTGTTGTGACTGCTGTTATTCTTGAATGATATTAACGATTTGATAAATTCTACGGAACTCTCTACAGCCATTCACTGTACATCAACTTCCTAGACGCTGAATTTTCTTGAGTATTCTTACCCAGACGGACACTCACACTTATTTACGACGACTTTTCGTCAACCAACGACGCAACCTAGCAACAACTCGCTACTTTCTGTAGTTAAACTACAACGATCAACCTTACCACAAGATGGGCAAGATGTCGATGAAGAAGTTGAACACCTTGGGTGATTCTTATTTTAAGGGTTCCCATGTTACAACATCCTTCACTATCATCCCTGACTCTTGAGAAAAAGAGTCAGGGACCACGTTCCTTCTGAGGAATGTAATTGTAATTCCGGAACCTCTAATTATTACCTCACGATCGACGGCACGAAGTATGATCGTGTCCTCTTCAACGAGCTGAAGGACTTCGGACGCAAGGGCGCTGTATCTGAGACGCAGGCCATGAAAATCTGGAAGGATGTCTGCGATGGCCCGATCCTGCCGACCCCGACAGAGATCCGCACTCTCAAGTATTTATGGTCGAATACTATTCCACGACCAACGTATTATAGGATAGTTCTTGAAGTTGTAGGTCCAATCCGAACCGACTAACATCATCAGTTCTTGAAGTTGCAGAGAAGTCGACCATTCCATGGTATTATGCCTATGCCATCCACAAACTCATACAAATCTCCTCTGTCGTCCTACAACTCCCAAATTTGTTTCATGATATACCC